ACCGTTGAACATTAATCAAGATTCTGTCCCCTTTCAAGTGCTTCGGCTCTGGTGGGCACTCCTAGACGCTATCTAGTAGGTAGTGAGAACTTGCGCACATCCACACCAGCAAACTACGGCCCAACTAAAGCGACCAGGACATTTGCTCGGACACTTGAGCTTTTGGTCCCAAAAGCTGAATAGGAGATAGCAAATTTCTCATTCGTATAACTAAAAGCGTAGGGACATCTATAAGATACAGTAGCTACGATACCACTCTATCCCACCATGAGGTTCTTACGACTCGATCTGATCGAGTCGATCATATCCACCCCAAGGCGGTCCACCTGAGTGGAGGATAGTCGATGGGTAGTACGCGCATAAGCGCTGAGGAGTGCCCCGTATAGATAACACGACATTTTAAGTGCATCATGGCCCATACCGTATGGGTGCGTCCAGAAGATTGTCAGCCACACAGCTGATGATCTACAGTAGGTCGTCTGACAATCTATATCATCTACTAGACGCCTTCATGCTACTCACTACTGAGCGGTGTAGTTTCAACCTCTGAATCATCATGGAGGATAATTCAGAGCGGCATTTGTTCAGTCGTTAGTGCTACGTGTGCACCAGAGAATTGCACGTTTTCGAGCTAATTTTTAACTGTCAAGGCAATAGGTTGTTGTAAGGGATGAACGCAAATTTTACATCCCAGCGATGGACGGACATCACCTATGTAATGAAGGGAACGTCGAAGAGGTTGTGATACTGTATGGCTTTATCTTCACTTAAACTCAACACCGCTCATTTCACTGCATCACTTTTCTACATAGTATATCCGGGTGGCATAACGAAGTGAACCTGATGAATAGATCCACCACAGGGCGGAATTTTAAGTAATCATGCTGCGGGATAAAAATTGTAATTTGAGCCTCGATCGATGATGCTATCCACCTTTCTTTTGGCTATCTCGTTGATCTTGTTGACCATCATCATAGCGTTAGTATTTTCGTCTTCATACGCAGACTCTTGTATTTTCATCTGTATTCGAGTGAGTAGTAGCACACAATATCGCCGCAACTTCCTCAGCGTAGAGCGGCTCTACTAGAGCCCCTACTCTTGAAATCTCGGGAGTCAACAGTGTTGACTCAACAGTGTCGAGTCAACACATATTTCCCACATTCGCATGTCAAATTAGCACACACTGTACAAGTGAAGTGCAAGGACTAGGCTAGTGAATATGTTCCACAGAGCCTGTTTGGCCGCGTGGTTGACATGCGCATTCAAGACTGTATGGATCGAGTTTTGGCTCTGATTCTCCCACTGAGATAAACCCCATTTCAGGTGATTAAGCCTTTGATCGCTTTAGCTAAACCACTGTTGGTAACTAGCCGCCGACTTATCAATTTAGGTAAACTTCTACGTTCCTTCTGTTCTCCTCAGGAGTGCGTTCAACATGTTATGACATTAGCCTCTATGAACAAGTCTCAAGGATCGCAAACCTCTTTCAAGGACCTTCTAGGGAGACGTACTTTTAGAGAGGCCTCCAATGTATATTTCGTATGCGCCGACTCCTTCAAGCTGCCCTCCAACTTCAATAGAGCGGCATGTCCTTGGTTATCACCAAGCGCTTGCTTTCGATCATCAAGACGCAGCTGCAAGGATGCCACCTGATCTCTTCGGAATCGGTTATTAATGTAAAACCCTTCAACTCACCGAGTCACGAAGCGCAGGCAGACCTCGCTCAAGTTTCTGCTTCCGCTCCGCGAGCGTCTGCATATCTCTAACACCATGGATACTCAGAAATCACTTTCCCCAATGATAAGTTACCGCATCCTAATTTCTTTGAGATCGTCAACGCATGAGAATCGATTATCGATCTCAATCTGGAATGATTGAATAGATTCCTCTGCCTGCGCCAACTCGTCTTCAACCTGTTGCGGAATTTAATCCCGGACCTGTTGCCACATCAAACCTTCTGTTCGAGCTCGGATATCTTTTGCAGCTCCTCCCGTCTCTGGCGAACTTCTATCTCAAGGCGTTGCCCAGTATTCCCGCTAGCTTCAATCTGGTGATTAGCTAGGCTAGTT